CGAGTAGGAAGAGAGCTTTAAAAAGCTGTGCCTCGAACTGACTGCCCCGGTCCGTTGTAATCGTCTTTGGGGTACCGAAGCGTGCGATCTAGTGAATGTATATGTTGAGGGCGACGGTGTCAGCTGTGATGTCACGTAGGGGAACGGCATCGGGCCAGCGTGAGAATCGATCTATCATCGTCAGGACGTACGTGTAACCCTGCGAAGGAATTAGAGGACCCACTAGGTCAATATGCACATGGTCAAATCGTTGCTCCGGGACGTCGAAGCTTTTCGGCAGGGCGTGTACGTGGCGGTCGATTTTGGAGCGCAGACAAGGCTCGCACGCTCGCGTCCACTGGTGTATGTCTCGGTTCATGGAAGGCCAAATGTAGCGTTGACAAATGAGTTTTACAGTGGATCGTGCGCTAGGATGTGCGAGGCCATGAAACGTGTCAAAAATTTGCCTACGAAAAGTAGCTGGAACGTAGGGACGGATATCCGTGGTCGAGACGTCGCAGTAGATTCCGGAGTCGTCCTGGCCGTACGTTAATTTCCTGAAAGAGAGGGACGATGAGCTGGGGTCCTTGAGAAGAGTAGTTAGTTCTTGATCTGATGCTTGGGCCTTGGCCAAGGCTGCAAGGTCAATTACCGTGGGCATCCTGATTGCTTCAATGCGTGAGAGACAGTCGGCCACGACGTTATCTTCGCCCTTGATGTGTTCGAGTTTAGTGCTGAACTGTGAGATGTAATTCAGTTGTCTTGCTTGGCGCGGACTGGCTTTTTCGAGTTTTTGATCGTAGGCATGGATGAGTGGTTTGTGGTCGGTGACGAGCGTGAGGTCACTATAGCCTTCGATGGTGCCTCGGAAAAATTTGACGGTTGAGAAGAGGGCAGTTAACTCCCTGTCGTAAGCACTGTATCGCCGTTCTGCAGGTGTGAATTTTTTGAAGAAGAAGCCGAGGGGGACCCAAGCTCCGTTCACGTACTGTTCGCAACTGCCTCCCATTCGTTTATCGGATGCGTCCGCGACGATGCGGAGTTTGGCGTTTGAGTGAGGATGAGCGAGAAGGGCGGCATTAGCAATGTCTTGCTTACATTGATTGAACGCCGCTATAGTGCGATCGTCCCAAGGAACGGGGGATTTGTCGTTCTTCTTGGCTCCATGTATGACTTGGTTGAGAGGTGCTTGCGCCTCTAAAGCGTTCTTGATGTGGCGTCGGTAAAAGTTCGTTTTGCCTAAGAAGCGTCGTAGGTCCATCTTCGTCCGCGGCAGCGGAAAGTTGAGCAGGGCTTCTACTTTGTGAGGCAGCGGAGTCGTACCTTCAGCTGAGAGTTTTGAACCGAGAAATACAACAGATTCTTGGAAGGAGTGACATTTCTTTGGGTTGATGATGAGGCCGTGCTCCTTAAGACGCTGGAAGGTTGTGCGAAGGTGGTTGATGTGCTCTTGAGTCGACGTTGAAGCGATGAGGACGTCATCCAGGTACGGGAAGACAAAGTCGAGGCCTCTGAAGACTTGGTGCATCTTCCTTTGGAGGGTTTGTGCTGCATTCCTAAGACCTGGTGGCATGAACAGGCAGTCGAAGAGCCCGAATGGGGTGATGACCGCTGTTTTTTCCACGTCCTTAGCGGCGATTTGTATTTGGAAAAAGGCGAAAACAAGGTCGATTTTGGAGAAGACCTTTTTTCCTTGAAGCATGTGGACACAGTCTTCGATCCTTGGTATGGGGTAGCGATCGGGCACGGTTTGTTTGTTTAACTTACGGTAGTCGCCGCAAGGACGGAGAGAGCCGTCGCCTTTTTCTGCGAGGTGCAGAGGGCTAGCGTAGGGACTCTTTGACGGCCTCATGATGCCTTTCTTGACGAGGTCATCGATCAGAGTTTTGGCTATTTTTTGCCTTTCTTTTGAGAGCTTGCGAAAGCGTTCGGCGCAAGGTGGACCCTCGGTGACGATCTGGTGATGAACAATGGCGTCCTTAAGCGGTGATGGTAGTTTCAGACCTGTCACTTCCGGAAAATCAGCCAAAATTTTTGTAGCGATGTCATTGGTGTTGTGTGTGGAGATGCAGGCGACTTGAGGTGAGGTGAAGAATCCTTTGCATGTCGAACTGGAATTTTTTTCTTTTAACGAGCAGCTAGCTACGTCGATAATCAGCTCAAAGTGTGCGAGTATATCGGCTCCTATAATTCCATGGGGTACATCAGCGATGATGAAGTCCCACGCGATGGGCTTGCTGAAGCCGAAGTCGAAGGTGACAGACTTCCGGCCGAAGGTGTCTATTGTACCACCGTTCGCTGAAAAGTTTCAGGGGAGCAGGTGTGAGACCTTCTCTGTTCCCAACGGGGAGGAGAGACAATTCGGCGCCCGTATCTACGAGGAAATTGATAGGTGAGCTTTGGCTGCGAAGAAAGACGCGCTTAGTTGCAGGTGGTAGATTCCAGCTGGACAAGGGTGCGATGACAGCTAGTCATGCCGACGACCACTGACAGTGCTTTTCGGAGTTTGTTTCGTTGTTGCACTTTTTAGCAGCGCTGCCAAACTTCTTGTGGTTCCAACAGAGCTTTGGTTTGCTACTTCCGGCGTTGTTGTGCTGGTGGACGTGCGACTGCTTGCGTGGGGAGACCCTTTTGGGTGTGGTGAGCCCGAGCGTCTGCCTGGTGAGCGGCTTTGCGATCTGGCCTGGAGCTTTTTTACTTATGCGGCGAGCTCTGCGACGGTGTTGATAAGCTGGTCAAGCTGCGTAGCTTGGCGAGGAGCGCTGGCTGCTATTTGTGGTTGTAGTGTCGGCGATTCCTGAGCCGCGACGCTGTATGCTTGCGGTTGAGAGGACTTGTCCAAAATCCACATATCGTCGGCAGCTCTAGCTACTTCTTCGTCGGACAGGAATGTCAGGCCGGTGAGTGCGAAGCTTATGTTTTTTGGCAGGCGATCTTCCCATAATGTGCGCACGAACTTCAGGTCCAGGTGGTTGTTGGCTAAGCGTTGCATTTCCAGGAGAAGCTGCGAAGGTTTCTGCGTGCCTAGTTTGATGTTCGACACCAGTTTTCTGAAGCGTTCCGTCTGTGTCTGCGTGAAGCTTTTCAAGAGAGCCTTCTTCACTTCGCTGTACGTATCAGTTGACGCTGGCGAACTGATGGCACGTTCCACTTCGATGGTTAGAGCTTTTTCCCCGAAGTTGGAGAGGAGAATCTCGAGCTTCTGTTGTGTGTTGGTTATGTTAAGGCGCACAAAGTGGTCTTCGAGCACTTTGAACCACATCTCGGGTCTCTCTGGCCAAAACTGCGGAGGCTTCTGGCGATAGAAGTAGCTGCGCAGGTTGCGGTCGCCATCATCGTACGAGTTGTAAACTGCGGGTGCTGCTGCGGGTTGGTTAGTGAAAGCCGGAGCAGTAGTCGGGGCGTTACCAAAGGCGGCTAAGGCGGTGCCGTAGCTGGGCGGTTGGTGGACGGCTTGTGTCAAGTTGTAACCTGGGACACCATTGGCTGTTGGTACTGGGCCGAGTTGGTAGCCGTAGAGATGAGCAGCTGGTGTGTCGGCTCCGTGACGTGGCAACGCCTGGGCGGTGTGCTGGGCATAGCCGTCGTAGTTCGTCGAGGGCTTCAGCGTGCTGGGCGGGCGCATTTGAGCGGCGGACATGGGTGGCGGTGGCGAGAGGTCCCAGTTTGCAGCATGAGCGGCTCCTTGCTGGATGTCGAGATGTTGTGGTTGTTGAAGTCCGGCGTTGACGTGAAGCTGGCTTGCGTGAGGGTCGAGTGGAGGCGGAGTGCTGTTGAGCATGACGTCCTCGAAGAATGGATTGATTGAATTGAGTACGTGCTGCACGTCGTGTTCTCCACCGGCGATTGATGACGAGATGTTCGCTGGATTCTGCGCATGCGCCGATCTGGGCGGTAGCGTCGGTGGCCTTGGGTCTGGTAAGGCCGTTCGTGGCCTTGACGGCGGTGTGGGTGGCCTGGGCGGTGGAGATTGCAGGGCTGGTGAGCCGGTGCTATGAACCGCTGGAGGAGACGATGCTGCCGTGCCGGCTTGTGAACTTTACGGTGCAGGTTGGAGCTTCGCGCCGGAGCGTGTGTGCATGGGCGAGTGTTCGACTGTCATGGCGGCCGGGTTTGTCGTATATCACCGGTCGCAGTAATTTGTTAATTTTGCGATTGTTTTTGCGTTGAATTTTCACTAGTCGGGGTCACCAATGTGGGGAATGCAGGTGAGGAAGGAGCACTGTAAGCAATCACCACGTATATAAGTTAACAGACTTTATTGGGTTTAAGGCACACGCACGGGCAAGCAGAGTGGTTGCTGTTGCTCGGCAAGTCCACACTCGACTGACTGCCGTGTCTTCCCCGCTAGCGCTGGCAGTCAGCGGGCGAGGAGAGAGGGGTGCGAGGCGGCAGAGCCCCACACGCGGTTTGCTGGTGCTGCCCGCTGTTGGGAGTGACGAGCTGGTCGGCAAGGGCGCCACACGTATCGTACTATCCGGTCACTTTTATGGGTATAATACTCTCGTGAAATAATTAAATGTTATAATTTTATGTGACGAAATAAGTACTAATCCATTGCATATATGATGTATATATTAACGTCAAATTAATTATTTTGCTTATAGATTGCCTAAACTTATTACATTAAATTAAAGTGATGGCTCGGTTTTAAGCGGGGGGGGGGGGGGGGGGGGGGTAATAGGGACACTCACCCAAACATGGATATTGTATTATGTATATCTGCTGTGTATTTGTTTCACTCCCTATATGTAAGAGTTATTGAATCACAAACTTGATAGCCTTTAAACATTTCGGAAGAGATAAATCAAAATTTAACGTCATCAACGTATATATAAAGAAAGCATAAAGCCCTCCTATTTTTATGTAGTTTAAATTGACTCAAAATTTGGGCAAATGTACAAATATTTTGACTTAAAAGGATCTGAAGAATCTTAATCGTATCGAATTCTTAATGTATACATTATTTATACTTCAACAATTGTTTATCATAAATTTTATTTTTATTTTAAAGAGTTGAATGCGATTTATTCCAAGGTATGATATACTTGTCGGTACAGTAGATGCTTAAAGAAAACAAACCAGTACAGAATTGTTTTTACACGTTTATATGAATAGAAGAAAGAAAAATTAACATTTTAAAGAAATAAAAAATTTTTATTTATATTTTTGAAATACCTAAAAATGGAAAAATATCACTTGAAAATTTACAAAATTTCTATTTGTTAAGTTGTAAAGTGATACCTAGATTGTTTATATTCGATTTTAAGAAATTAAATAAATTTTAATAATAATTTTTCAATAATAGAAATTTTTTTAATTTTCGAAAAGTGATATTTTTTCTCTTTTAAGTATTTCAAAATATAAATAAAAATTTTTTAGATTTTTAAAGCACATCAGTTTTTGTTATAATTTTAAGATAAGTGTTTCACATTAAATTCCTATATATCACTAAGATCAACAGCATCTATTTGACAAGATATGTTGTCTTCTGTAGTAGGCTCTTCCAACACCTCATCTTGAGTTTGATGTGGAATGTCCAATTTACTCCAAGAGCCAGGTTCCTTTTTTCTCAAGTTAATTTCAACTTTTGTTGGTAACATGTTTATGAAGCTGGCTTCTACATCAACAATCTAAATTATAATAATAATACATTAAGTAATGTGAACAATTCTATAAGTATTCTTTCAATCATGTTATTTGTATGAACATTAATATTAATATTTATAGTTCAATACATACGCCTTTCAATTCAATATCAAAGTTGTAGTTAGAATTTTCTTCTGGAAAATATAAATCTACTGTTAAATGAATTGGATTTAATTTCACGTATGATGCAGTTGGATCATACTTCTTAGCATAAATTGATATTATTACATGTGTTCCAGTTTGATGCCAATCTACTCTACACTTGATTTTTTTATTTTTTGCATCCTGGAAATTTAAATTTCCATATTATTTTTAGAATATGTTTCTCACTTGTATATTATTTGTCTTTTAATGAAATTTTTTTTATATGGTTTTACCTTTTGCACCCACAAATGACTACCTTTTGTACAACCTGGTTGTTCTAAAAATACAGAAAAATCAGTAGTTTTTTTTCGACAACAGGACCAATATTTTAATCCTTCATGAAAAATGGGAACACCAGGATGGTATGTACAATCTTCTTCATCAGAAGGCAAACCTTTATAAACAGCTTTACAAGATTTATTTTTACAATTTTGACCTAAAACTATTTTGTTTTCATCATTATTATGATTATCCATGACTGTGATTCCTTTAATCTGTTCTAAAAGACTTGGGGAAATAGTTGGTTTTAGTATAACTTGTGGAGAATTAAAAGGTGGTCGTTCTATTGCTGGAATACTATTTAACGATGGTGGAATATACTCTATTACTTCATTATCTTTTAATTTATCTACAACTGGTTTAGATGGTTCTAATGGCTTTACATTAGAATGAAACGATTTAGTACATCCTTTAATATTCAAAAATTCTGAAAAATCAGTGCATTTTTTATTACAACAAGACCATCCTTTATATGCATCATGAAAAACTGGATGTCCAGGATGATGCTGACAAATATCTAAGAAATAAAGAGAATTAAAGCTCTCCGTACTATCATGATTTTTAGGATAATTTCAAAATTACAAGTTCATAGAACTAAAAATGTACTTCAATACTTGAATATACCTTCTTTGTTGTCGTTAGGATCGAATTTTTGACCACAGCCTCGATTATAACAATATAGTAGAGTTTTATCATCAGACATTTCTAATAAATGTTATATTTTTCAGAGTTCTAGTCTTTCAGCTATCGTCTCAATACAAATTCTATTTGATTAATATTAAATAACAGAATATTCTAGCACTTTCGAAGATAGGCTACGTTAAGTTTCGTATTTGAAGGCTTAAGTTTTCTTCCTTGGGCAATATTATGCTGCTCACATATTCTTACCGATAACTTATTACAGACTAAAATAACCGATAATGTTAAAAATATTAGATTCAAGTTGTTTTAATTGGTTAATTCTGCAATTAGAATTTGAAGTTTAAAGAAGGGAAATTCAATTCTAGTTAGTTACTAATGGTATTGCAAGTAATGTAGGCAAAAGCTTTGATTTGAAGGTTATGCTGGTCAAATGTCGCTCTAATCGCTTATCTCAATGAATACAGACGCTTATTTGCTATATTTGCTACAGTTCATAATTTTCTGAATATTATTACAAATTACGACAAACAGCATGCTTGTTACGTTCATGGAATTAAAGCTTTAAAATTTTTGATTTTAGTTAAAATTTATGCTAATAAATTAACATAATAAAAAGTGAAAACTTTATTTAGAAATCTGCAAAATCAAGTCGTCAAAAAATAAAGAAAATAAGAAGCAAATAAATAACTTTTTGGTTTCCACTTAAATCGGTTATTTTATTATATGGTTTAGTTAAGCGTGTTTCATGTGCTAATCTTTTGTTTATTTTATTATTTAGTTCAATGATTGAGACAAATCAAAACTTAGAAAGGTAAATTAAATATTTAAAATATACATTCCATAGAAATCTACTGAAATCCGTCTATTTTACTTAATTAACAAATAAATATTTAAATACACTTTAATTTCAGATTCATTAATATTTTCTAACTCAATAAAAGTGCAACTTCTCAGGTGCTTATATACATTATATAAGCTGTACGTAATTTTTTCTTCCCGTTTTTGTAAGTGTCGGACTGCATTTGATTTTTCTACAAATTTCTTTTACTTTCATAATTTATATGTGTACCCTGTATAGTGTATATTGGTACATACGTATATATTACTTCGATAAAATTACTCTAAAATTGTATTGGCTAAATACACAGTATTTATCTGGAGAAATCAACAAAATTGTTTAATTTCATCTGTACAAATAAAAATGTTATAGAGTCAGTTTATTTAAGAATTTTTTTAAGAAATATATGCATGAATATAACGAAATTACTTCATATTGTTGTAGAAAATATTCCATTGATTTCTAATCCTTATTATTAACAATATTTATTAGACCATAAGATGTATAGCTAAGAATTTTAATGAATTTTCAGGCATAGGTCACTGTCGTAACCTTGATGTTCAAAATGTATATGTGATGGCATGGGCAACTATATTGCGATAAATTATTTTGAGGTTAGGCTAATGTACGAGTTATTCGCTTCATAATATATACACATTTTGTCTAACATAATATTATTTGAAATCTTATTTTATATTAATTTAGATTATCTATTATTTATCGATAAAAATGAACTATTATCTTACAACTTTAAAATAAAATTATATCTTTAAAAATAATTTTTAAATCAAAATCTCAACTCAATAACATTTGAATTTTTGTGTCAACTAATCTGACTACAAAGAAATTAGTTTAACTTAATTAATCAGCATCACTTTTATATAAAGAAATCTGAAGAGATCTTAATTTTTCAAATATCAAAATATCAAGAAATTAAAATATCGATATTCAAATATTGGCGCCAAATGACTTCACAAGCCAGCATGTTCATTTCCGAAAAATCACTAGCAACAAACGGCTACGAGTGCCGCGTTCTCGTCTCCCCATTCCTTACTTCAAAATGCAATATTATTTTGATGAATAGTTAATAAATCAAAGATTGAAACGCAAAAAAATTATGTAAAAAAATTGCTCGTGATTTTTGTTAACGATTACACATATTTGTTTATACGAATACAACGTTCCCACATGGCGTAGAAACGTTTAATTATGTGCTGGGAGTTAGCAACTTTATAAATTGTTTTGTTAATTAAAGCGAATTTGCTTGGAGTTGATATACAGTTTTCCTATCCTTGTTAACCAAGAGCAATTTTTCTATAATTTTTTCGTAACGATTTTCGTTGATTTCCTACTGAGTTCCTTTATCTCTAAGTTAACAATGAATCAACCAACATGGCACCAGTTGATTACACTACACTCAGGGAGTCTGATGATGGCAGCTGCGTTGCATACATTCTACTCAGGCATTATTTGGTTTTTCTCTTTTTATTTATTTATCTATCTATCCCTCTAATTTTGTTTACTCTTTATTTCTTTATTAGTAACAACTATCTTACTTTATAATATTTCTATTTTTAACTATCTTTTCTGTTTTTCTCTAATCCCTGTATATTTCCAATTCTGTCATCCAAAGATAACCTCTTATAGGTGGGATCTGGCCACCATACATCTTTTTCTAACGATTATGATTTGATTTCTTCGTTTAATCCTAGTATGATTATTTCACAAATGAGGCGAAAAAATATTAACAACAACAAAATTAGTGGTAAGTTCAAGGATAAAAGATTGAACGAAGTTCAATATAACAATCATTCAAAAAGATGTAAGTCTTGAAGTGATGGAAATATCTCTGAAGATAATGATGATTCACAGCGTAAAAATATGTTAGTTGAGGATTTAACTACTGAAGTTATAGTTACAGAGCTAACTAGTGGCATGCCACCTGATAAATCTAGTGTTGTGATACCTAATAATAATTCCCAATCCATTGAGCCTGATAAGCTTGTCGATAGTTCCCAAAACAGTTTGATTTCTCCCACACAAGTTATGAGTATTCCCAATCCTGAAGTTCACTTTGCCAAATTAGATAAGTTTGCAAACTCATTGAACACATACTCATCAACAAACACTGGCCCATATATAGTCTTTATTGAACCTTTGGACAAGACTTTAACAAAATCAAGACTGAATGCCACAAAAATTGGTCAACTTCTTGCTAACTCATACGGTAATTCTTTTTTTTCCTGGCTGTATCAAATCCTCTAGTCCTCAGAAAATGTATATTTCACTTAAAACTAGACAAGCTGCAAATAAACTTATTCATGATCCTAAATTGGCTTCTAACAATCTCAGAGCTTCTATTCCTCTCTTCCGTTGTAATAAACAAGGTCGAATAAAGGATGTTCCTCTTGAATTCTCAGCCTTGCAACTTTTGAACATAATCCATTCTCCCATTCTCATAACTAAAGTCAGGCGACTTCATCGTAAAGCGATTAAACCTGATGGCACTATTGGACTTATTTCTACTCAATCTGTCAAACTCACATTTGATGGTCAGTCTCTACCGCCAAATGTATACATCTACTCTGCAAGTCATCTAGTTTCAACTTATATTCTTCGTTCCAAGATCTGCTTCAATTGTTTCATATTTGGATACCTCAAGAGTGAATGTAAAGGCTCTCTCTGCTGTAATTGTGGCAGACTTCAACACAACACCAAGATCGACCCAAAGGATATATGTCCTCGACTAAACCTAACCCCTGTCTGCATTAATTGTAAAGGTGATCACTCACCCACATCTAACAATTGTCCTGAATACTTATACCAACAAGATGTTAGAAAATTTGCAGCTGATAATAACTTGTCAATCCAAGAGGCTCTGAATATTCGATTTAGGGACTCTCCTCCACGTTATTCTTCTAGATCTTTTGCAATCTTCAAAAAAAAAAGAAAATTGCTAACAACTCAATGCCTCCTCCCACTAAACCAGCTCATTTCCCTTCCCTTCACTATAACTCACCCAGTCTACAACCACTAAAATCATCTTCCTGTCCATTTTCTCCTAACTTTTATGCTACGTACAATCCCTGCTAAAAATGTTCTATTGAAAATGATTTTAAAAAAAGCAATCATTTTTAATCGTATCTGAATCCCTCATTATCCAATTAAATTCCATTTACATCGATTAGAGCTATATGATGAACGAAGTTTATAAAAAATTATTAAAATATATAAAATTGATTGTTATTAAAAGTGATTCAAATCTAATAGTATTGAATAACTTCTAAGAAATGCAGCAGCTCTATAAATAATATTTTATAAATTATAATAAATTTTTTCTTTAAATAGCATCTTATTTATTTTAATGGTACTTTTCGATATTCGGATAAATAGCATTGAATATTACAAAATGTTATCAACTAATTATTTTTAATAGATTCTAAAAACTCTTTTTCAACTAATAAATTTAGATAAAATTGAATAAAAAATGGTACTTAAATAAATTACTTTTAATAAAATTTAATGGCAATTTCTATTATTGCCTTTAATAGCATTAAATAAAAACATGGTATTCAAATGAATTACTTTTAATGAGATTTAATGGCATCTGTATTATTGCCTTCATACCTATGTAATTGATTATTTTAAATAACTTCTAATAACTTTTAACGTCATGAATAGATAATATTCATATGTTGAAAAAATGTATGACACACCTGCTTACCCTTCCTCTTTTGATAAATAAAATAAAATCAAATAATGTAATAAAATAAAATAATACAATTGAACAACAAACGTTGAATGCAAAATATTTAATATTAAATAAATCTTAATTTTTGTACAAAAGTAAAGTAATAAATAATAAATAAAGTAAGTTAAGTTAAAAATAGAATAATACAAAGAGCATATGTTAGTAGCAGGTTAGAGCATAGTTAGAGCAATAAATTAGTCTTCGTCAGATGATGATAAAAGCAAGTTTTCGTCAAAGATATTTTCTAAATCAACATTTGTTTCGTCCTGCGCTTCTTTATCGTTCAGAGCATTATTAGCAATATCTGACCGGTCTTTGTCAAAGACATTTATTTCGAGTTGCTCTCCCACGTTCAGAGCATCATGATTAGCAATTTCTGACCGGTTGTCATTTCCTTCCTCCGGCACGTTTCCGGTTATCAAAACCGCCTCGAACAAATTGGAAGTTGAAGGTTGCATTACCATCATATCATTGGTACTGCCATACTCTACTTTCAATGCATCCTTGGAACTTTTAGCAGGCCTTTTTGGTTTCTTTAAATAGGCAATTTACTTGGTAACATAGTCGCGAAAGTAATTTAATTCAACTGCTCTATCATATATTTTTAACTGATTTTTAGACAGTATTTTTTCATACTCATATTGAAGCCAATATTCATAAAATTCTGAAAGATTGCATAAAAAAATTAATTAAATTTAGTTGTCATCTTCATAGATTTGAATAAATTCTAATTATTTTTTAAATAATTTAATACTTTCTTATAATTTTTTATACAACTCAATCGATTTGTATTATTTTTTAAAGATTTGAATTATTTTTCATCTGTTTTTATCAAGTCTTAATAATTTATCTTAATTTATAAAATCATTTTACCCATATTCAATTTTGTAACATTTTTTTTATTTTGTATGATCTGCATTAATTTTTTACTATATAAATATAAATTTGGTTACCTTTGCAAGTGTTGAGTTTCTGTGGATCTAATTTTTGCATTTCTTCGGTGTTATCTTCATTA